GAGGCTGAATGATGAAGCTCTGTTTAGAGCATGTGAGGTAAGTGGTAGAACTTTCGTTAGAGGCTGAATGATGAAGCTCTGTTTAGAGCATGTGAGGTAAGTGGTAGAACTTCCAAACGAACTAATACCCTTTTACGTGTTTTTGGCTTTGCATAGAATTGGAGTCGCTTGACCACTCATATGTATATGATACAATATATCTGCATTTCAGGATGTTACATAACTATACAGAGACGTCGGTAGGCGCTGGCACACATGGCCCAATTCTATTTGACAGTGCCCCGAAATCCCGTTTGGTGTCTTGAAAAATCAGAATTGAAAACCATAATCGATATCATGTTGAAACGCCGAAAATTCACGCGCCTTTGGGCTCGAGCCCCAAATCTTTTAAGCACCTAGCGACGCTTCTGTAACTATATATATATATGCGAACACACACACACTATTTTTTAGAATAAGTGGTGAAGAATATATAAGCAAACACAGAAATATGGATTTAATCTAAGTTTATGGTCTGTAAGCAGTAAACAAAATGAAACAATAAAATGCTTGATAAAACGTTTTCATAACAGAGCCGTGTTAGAACGCTACAAATCAGTTTTTGATTCCCTTGTGGGCAGAACACAGATAGCCCATTACTCTTAACGTCAAACAAACAAATACTGAGTCGTAAAGTATGTTTAATATTGTTACTATCTCTGGTAAGTTTTACCAAAGTCGCGGAAGATATCACATCATATTGTGAGACGCGTTGCTCTCAAAACATTCTTAAAACTAATGCTTATAATTAATTATGAAAATAAAATAAATTAATAATTAATAAATTGATTAGCACCCTTTGCAATAAGTGTAGAAATTACTATAATTTGAAAGTACGTGCTGATAAATGGAAAGAGAAAAACTAAGTGTAAAACACAGAGTTTGTTTGTTTCGAATTAAGGACAATGAGCTACCTGTGTTTTGCCCACCATGGGTATCGAAACCCGGTTTTTAGCGTCGTAAGTCCTCAGACAATACCGCTGTGCCACTGGAGGGCTAAAACAAAGAGAAAGAAAATAGAAGTGTTACGTCTCCGTTTGTTAATTAACTTTCCGTAACTTCGTTTCCGACGAAACTTTAGCGACACAAGTCCCTTACTTAATAAAACTGGTTTATTCTTTCCGAATACAACTTTACGATACACTTATTTTCAACAATCGCGCTAAAAAATGTGTGTGTAGACAGTGAGTAATTGAACTGCAGTCAGAGAGCACGAGAGACGTTCTTTGAGAGTTATAGCGTTTGATTGCGTCACGTTGTCACCCTCTTATATATACACCAGACTACCCTATCTAGTAAATACTAGAGCATTCATGAAGGAACAAGATAGTTCTAGAAACTAGAGGGCGCCACACTAGTCACGTGACCTCGATGACGCAACAATACTATAGACTATAGTTTATAATCCGATCCTCTCGTTGTTGTTGACTGTTTACTTGTTTTGTTTAGTAAAGGAACACGCTGGGCGATTAGGCCTAGTTATAATTAGCAGGCATTGCTTTTTATAACAATTTGTAAGCTTGTTTCTGTACTGAACTCAATCATTTCCCAGTTGATTGGTAAAAGTTGTTGAACTTTAAAGTAAACAAGACAGGATATAGGAAGGCCAAATTAACTGGATTTAATTATTAATTTTAACTAACTTTTAAGTTAAGTTATATAGTGATGCAAAACTGAACTGAAACTTGAAATTGAAACTTTTAAAGTTTAAGGCTATAACCTTTAGTTATAATTAATATTTTTCTAAAATTTTAAAAACAATTGTTAAATATTATTAAAAACTGTAAAAGTAGTCTTCACTTAATTTGGAAATCGAACGAAAAAACAACTATATAGCTCCCTTTTCTAGATAAATAAACCTAAAAGTAATAGAGTAAAAGTAAAATGAAGCCCTCCAAGTCCAACAAATTAGGGCCGTCAGATATTATTTAGCTTAAATGGACAATTTTGAATTTAAAAATTGACAGGAAATGGACAAAATAGAACTTATAAGTAACGAGCAGAAACAAAATATCTGTTAAAAATTGTTAAGTGTTTTCATTGCTTAAGTATTCATATAACAATTGCTTGCATACAAGAACTTTAAGAAATGCATATTTTTTAATGAAAATAATTTACATAGAAATACAATACTGTGCAAAAGTGTTAGGACAAAGTCAAAAATTTGATTTCAGGTACTTTCAAAGAACAATGGACGGTAACTCACAGGTGAAACATAAAAATTTTATTAATATTCATATTTAGTATAACAGAAACTCAGAGGAAGTGCTTGAATTCAGCAAACAGTTAATATTTTGTGTGTCCCCCGTTTGCTTTAATAACTGCAGACAGACTTTTAGGCATTGTTTCAACATATTTAATCAAAGTATTTTTTGGTATTTTACTTCAAATGTCTTTTATACACTCCCATAAAGTTTCTTTGGAAGTAACTGTTTATTTGTCAAGTTTTTTATCTATCAAATCCCAGATCTGCTCAATTGGGTTCAGATAGGGGCTCTGTGGGGGCCATTGCATCATTTGAATGAATTCCAGCAGCTTCTTTCATAGCTAAATAGTTTCTGCGTGGGTTGGATGAGTGTTTAGGGTCATTATCCTCTTGGTAGTAGAATCCTTTACCAATAATACGCAAACCACTGGGTATACCATAAGGGATCAGTATTTGATAATAGTTGTGCTGGTCTATTATTCCATCTATTTTGCAAATATCTCCTGTCGACTCAGCAGAAAAACACCCCCAAACCATCACACTGCCTCCCCATACTTCATGGTAGGTGCTATGCATTTAGGTAAGTATCTTTTACCTTTCTTACGCTGGACATACAACCTACAATTTGAACCAGATGTTTCAAACTTGGATTCATCCATCCATAACACCCTTTTCTGATCATCAACAGTCCAGTTTGTGTACTTTTTAGCAAATTGCAGTCTCTTGAAAATATTTGGAGATCGAAGTAAAGACTTTTAACTGCTACACGACCAAATATTCCATTCTTGTTGAGTCTTCTTGATACTGTAGACCTGGACACTTTT